AAGAGAAAGGAAAAATTGAAATCGCATCATATGACCCCTTAAAGCATAGGAAATTTAGGATTAAAATGATTTTTGGGGTCATAATGGATCGTAACTTCTATGTTGGAAATCACATATTAATAATGTAAAAATTAAAATGCTGCAGTATTATATAAAACTAAGAATATGTTGAATCAGAATTTGCCATATATTTTGTATCGTTATCTCATAGGCCCACATTAATTATTGTGTGGAAGTTCCAGTAATTTTCACACACGTTTTGGCTTTATGGGGACATTACCTAGATGAAATGACTTTTCTACTGTACAAACTGTATTTTCTATCCCCTCTCTCTACCCCTACCCCTCACATAAAACTTTCTGCATTTTTAGATTTTCAAAAAATCCATTCTGTATGATTTGAAGCTCGTTTCCTAATGGGGACCCCCTAAAAAACTGTCCCCCCACAAGGTCAAAATTGACTGGTATTAGCATTACTATCCTTGTGGATAGGGAATACCAGGACACACACACACACATCTTAGCTATACCATGGATACAAAGTACAAAAATAATCAACAAAACAATTTTTAGCAAGAAAACAGTAGGATAAATATTTATATATACATGTGTATATATAGTGTATAAAAAGAGCAAGCATATAGCATGTATTCTATAGACCGTCATATTGTATATATTTGAATGATATTGATGGAATGTTTGACAGGCACCTCTCACCAGCCTCTTTATGACATCATACACAATACTTTCTTCTTTTTCTTTTTACTATTTTAAGTGACAAACTTCTGCCCTGATCGCTTCAAGAAGACAAATGAGAAGTTTAAAGCAATTTTAACCGCACATTTTTGCATTTTACGATCTGCTTTACTTGCTCACGAAGCTATGAAGATGCTTCGCTCAAGAATCTCAAATTTACCATTTTTGGATGGAGCAGACGACATGTATGCGACCACTAACAAGAGCCACTTTAAACTAGCAGATGCCACCGTCAAGTCGAAAAGAGATGTTATCCTTCAGCCTGTCTCACCACTCTTCCAGCGTGGAGACCAGAAATCCCTGGCAAAGTACCAGACAGAGACAGCGCTGTCCTTCCCGTCTCATCCACCAGCCCCAGTCATCCAGCCAAACCTGACCCACCTCACGATGCAGAGCACCAACTTTAAACTGCATTCAGAGGACAGGTGTGGAGACTGTGAGACCACTCACTCTGACTTAAAGCACTTGCCGATGTGTGCAGCCAAAATAATTCATCCCACCACTGCAGTCAGGACTAGTCTGCCGGAGGGCAAATATCCTGAACCCACTTATAGGTCTTCCTACATCAGACATAAAGTGTCCCGGATCTTCAGAGCAAAGCAATCGGCGAAAACAGGTAAGTACTCGCACTGTCCACTGACATTTTGTTTTTTATCAGTTGATATAAGATGCTTTTTTTCGTATCAATCAGGTGTCGGATCTAGTCTAATTATGGACAGAAGGGACAGGTTCAGATCCAGTTATCATGAGCAGTTCCAATACAGATGGTATCCTTGTCCTCAGTCCGCAGAGAAGGCAATTTTATATAATTTGGCAGTGGTTTCAGAGAGC